ATACCTGATGACAGTACGAATGGAAATTATAACAGCGAGGTTTTAGTTTTTTAAACTATAATTTTATTAATATAAGCAAACTGCATATTTCATGTCGTGTGTATTTAAAAGATATAAAAGGGGCTGCTTGCTGACCAACGTTCACTAAGTTTATAATAAGTCCCATGATTTTTAAAAAAAACGGCACAACTTGCATACTTTATTTTAGAATATTTTTTTTCTATCTAAAGAAATCGATAGATAAATGTAAATGCTGGTTTATGCCAAAAAATACTTAATGAATAATATTTATAAGTTATACTCTATATTTAGGACTAAATACCTATTTATAAGAAAATAATCAAATCGAAACACCGTAACCATCTGGCCGGCCAGCATTTTAAAGAATTGATTCTAATAAAATGATGCCTAGGTATTAAACAATTTAATTTAAAATATTTAATATTTAATCTAACTTTAAATATTGGTTTTACCAATTTAATTTTTTTTTTTAATTTTACAAGTACTAAATTTTTCGTATGTAAAAGTTTCTATAAACTAATAGTATTAGTTACTAAAATCTTCCAAGATTCATTATTTCACTATACGTATAAGCAAAATAGGCCAAAAGACCCGAATTTTTCATACTCCATATCTCTGGAAATAATCACGATGGAGTTCTAGAACTTAATATGGAGATATATGAAATCCATCGCATGCTCTTGGAGAAAAATTGTAGTTATCGGAAAAGGGGGCAAGGCACCTCTCATACAAACCGAATATTTCATACTGAATATCTCCGGAAGGTTCATGGTAGAGTACTGGATCTTGGTATTGACGTATGTATATGCAATCGATCGCATACTCTTGGAAAAAAATTGGAGCTACTGGAAAAGGGGGCGTGGCACCTCCCATACAAACCAAACTTTTCATACTGCATACCTCTGGAAATGTTTATAACATAGTGATGGACCTTGGTATGGAGATATATCAAATTCATCGCACACTCTTCGAGGAATATTTGAGCTATTGGAAAAGGGGGCGTGGCACCTTCCATACAAACCGAATATTTAATACTGCATATCTCTGGAAGTTTCATGGTAGAGTACTGTAACTTGGTATTGACGTATGTATACGAAATCGATCGCATACTCTTTGACAAAAATTGGAGCTACTGGAAAAGTGGGCGTGGCACCTCCAATACAAAGCTACCTTTTCATACTGCATACCTCTGGAAATGTTTATGACATAAGGATGGAACCTGGTATGGAGATATATCAAATCCATCGTATACTCTTGGAGGAATATTTGAGCTAGTGGAAAAGGGGCGTGGCACCTCATACACAAACCGAGTTTTTCATACTGTATGTCTCTGGATATGTATATGAAATCAATCGCATACTCTTGAGAAAAATTGGAGCTATTGTAAAAAGGGCGTGGGACCTCCCATACAATACGAATTTTTCATACTGCATATCTCTGGAAGTATTCATGGTACAGCACTGGAACTGGGCATGGAGATGTATGAAATCAATCGCATACTCATGAATAAAAAGTCGGACTATTTGAAAAGGGGTGTGGCACCTCCCATATAAACCGAATTTTTCATAATAAGTACCTCTGGAAGTGTTCATGTTAGAGTACTGGAACTTTATACGGGCGTGGCGCCTCCCATGCAACTCGAATTTTTCTTATTGCATATCCCTAGAATAGTTCTTGGTAGAGTACTGGAATTTGGTGTGAGATATATGAAATTAATCGCATGGTCATGTACAAAATATGGAGCTATTGGAAAAGGTGGTGTGGCCCCTCCCATACAAGCCGAATTTCATACTGTATATCTCTGGAAATGTTCATGGTAGAGTACTGGAACTTCGTATGGAGATACTATGTATATGAAATCAATCGCGTACTCTTGAGAAAAATTGGAGCTATTGTAAAAGGGGCGTGGGACCTCTCATACAATACGAATTTTTCATACTGCATATCTCTGCAAGTGTTCATGGTACAGTACTGGAACTTCGTATGGAGATATATGAAATCAATCCCACACTCATGGAGAAAAATGGGCTCTTTGAAAAGAGGGCATGGCAAAGTCAAACGTACTGACTTTTACTTATCTTTGAATGTGTATATAGTTCTTCTGTACGTATGTTTGTGAGTGAAATCCTAAATGGCTGGAGGGATTTTAACAAAGTTTTCTGTGTGTGTTTGAGTGGGTCTCTAGATAGTTTAGTTTCACAATTTAACCCGCCATTTGGCGCTGGAGTTGAGTTATTACTAAAAATCTTTTTTATGATCCGATTCGTCGAATATTCAAAACAAGTATTGGAAACGGCAAAGGCAGTCCAATTGCAAAAAAGAGCTGCCAGCTGGTGCTGAGGTCGAGTTATTACTAAAAATCGACAAGTAAGAAAAGGTGCCGTGAATGTCAGACTAAATCGACCTGTTGAACTATTGAGAATATCGAACTCTCGTGTGTTACGATTGGCCCAATGGATGTGATTTGCCAACATTATTGTGCGTTAAAGCTTCATTCGGAGACACCAGCAGTGGAATTCTGACAATCGCCAGTGGAGCCTCAAAGCGCGCAACATAAAAGTAACAGATGCAATGTGTAATCAACCAAAGCTGGTAGTATGATTAGCATGTAACTAGGTGGTGTATGTCGTTAGGCGCGCCTGATATTCTGTTGGAGATTTTTAGCGATCAAAATTAGCGAAAGCGAATGCTGGAATCCGGCTGCAGGGTTGAGTTGTGCAGTGGTAAATCTCAAATCACCACCTGTCGATATACCTTAAAAGACAGTTTCATGAAATCAGTTTAATGAAAATTTATTTTTTTACTTGAATTTAATATGGAACCTCACAGGAAAAAATAATTTTTCACCCAAATTGCTTTCGTGAAACTGGCTTTTTAAGGTATTTCATCTAAAATAAGTCTGTGTATGTACATATATAGGATTTCTGTTGAAAAATGATACGCACCTATTCTGAAATTGCCACCCGCTATACTACAAAGCTTCTAGGACAGATTCACTATAGAACCGGATCATTGTTGCCGCCAGGGAGTGAAGAAGAAAGGGTTCTTCAAATTTATTTCGTTTTGCGATTAACCGTGCTATGAAATCGGAAATTGGAGTATTTCAAGAACTTCTTCACGGACATGGGCGTAGCCAGGTAGGGGCAGGGGGGTGCTACTATAGTATGAATGTTTTGCTGGTAAGTTAATTAAATTTTCTTGTGCGCATACTCATGCTAATAAAAGTTTACCTGCAGGTATGTGATGACAAAATGACAATCAGATATGTCGATGCTACACACCCTGAGGCCTGCCATGACTCATTAATTTGGAATACCAGTCAATTAAGGGTTTCAATGGAGGAGGATTATTTGCGAGGCACAAGAAATGTTTGGTTGCTAAGTACATTTTTAATAAAATCTTTGAATCACTTAATACCATTTCTTTTTTTCATAGGCGACGCTGGATATCCATTGGAGCCTTGGCTGCTAACACCACACAGATCAGCGGGAGAGGGCTCCACAGAAAGCAAGTTTAATGAAGTTCACGCCCGCGCACGTAACGTTGTGGAAAGAACCAATGGGGTTTTAAAAAATAGATGGAGGTGTGTACTAGGAGCAAGAGAGCTGCATTACGCTCCTAAAAAAGCCGCAAAAATTATTAATGTCTGCTGTGCGTTGCACAATATTTGCATAAGTTATCGATGCGATGACACACCATTTATTTCAAATGCGCCTCCTCAGCCGGAAAATTTTGAACACCTACAGTCTGAAGAATCTGAACCGAACTCATCATACCTCAATGAGGCTAAGCGTATTAGAGCTAATATAGGAAATTCACTTTTATAAAATTTGTAAAGCCAGTTTTAGTAGAAGATCCGAATAACGCAGGACCTTCACCTATTTCAGTGGATTAAATCTATTTTGTATGAAATTTAAAGTGTTAGGAAAATTTTGCTAGCAGGTTGGCTGGAAAAATCCTGGCCACGATACTTTTAATTAAAAATTCGAAAATTGTTATTTTTTTAATTTTGCACTTATTTGTTTAGTGAAAAAATTACATTTTCGATTAAACAAATGAATACAAAATTAAAAAAAAAATTTATTTTTGAATATTTAATTAAAAATATCCTGGCCAGGATTTTTTCGGCCAACCCAGTCGCAAAATATTTCCCAACAGGTTAATTTTCATAAAAAATAAATTTCATTCATTAAACAGATGGGTGAAGGTCCTGCCTTATTCGGATCTTGAACTATTTTTAATATTTGGAATTGTTTTATGGCACACTTGAAAAATTTTAGTTTTGTTTTAGCTTAGAAGCGTTTTTATTTTATTTTCAACGAAAAGTTTGAAGTACAATAAACGTAGTACAAATACATATCTCCTGCTTGGAGTAATTTTTAAAATAGAAAGCGAGAGAAATTACAAATGCATCGTATCCAAATAGCCTTAGAATGTCACAAAAATTCAGTGTTTTTAAAACATATAGACAAAAGTTCTTGTTTTGAGATAATGTAGCAATTTTTTCACAATTGGATGATAAAATAAAATACAGTCAGAGTCAAAAGTTATTGTAGTGAACACCTTATTCTAAAATAATATTCAGTTATTTTCCTTAATTTTTTGTGAAAATAGTTGTGAATATTATGTTAGAACAAAGTGTATACTAACTTTTGACTCTGACTGTAAACATAATTCATTAATTAAATAAACGTATGCACTATATATCTAGTTAAGGTTTAAGTTTCTTTTTGCAGCAAGTATTTTCAATTTTTGAACCTCGATTTGACTGTTTATGAGTACCAGTTTACGTTCTACTTCTACTTTTCCTAGGCGTTCAGTTTCTAGATGGTGACGTTTTGTTTCCGTTAGTAAATCATCTTGATTTTTTCCAAAGTTTTCAATGCCTTGTTTTAATTCCTGTAATTGATGTTCCATTTCTTTGTAGTGTTCACTCCGCATTTCCAGACCCTTGCTAATGTTAACACTTATTTCTTTTTGAACACTCAACTCCATGCTTAATAGCTCGGAAGGGTTAACTTTATCCTGACTTTTTCGTTTTGGCTTGAGCGCTGGCGTGGTATTTTCCGTTTCAATTTCACGATATTTTCGCAATCGATATTGTCCAAAAAACTGAGCTCTTCTACATCTGTGCCTTCATTTAAATCGTCTTGTTCATCATGCCTGTCTCTTTCAGATTGCTTGTTACCAATTGATTTAGTTGGTTGCAAACCAAAAGTTTTGCCACCTTCGACACCTTCCTCACTTTCAATTGTCGCGGTTAAGTCCAAAATTGACTGTTCTAATACAGAAAAAACGTGTTCTTTACACGGTCCTCCACCGGTCTTTTTTCTGTTTTGCGCATTCTGGACAGCTTTCTTCCGCACATATCTTTTTTGATCAATCCAGACCTGTTATGTATTGTATATTTAAATTATTCTACATAACAATTTTAAGTACCAGCCCAACTTGCGTCCTCCACCACGGAACAACAGATGTAGTGGTGCATTTGAAGTATTAATAGGACTGTTCAGGATATTGAAGAAATGGTCTTGGATTTGCATTTTAAAATTTTATGCTTGCCCTCACGGCATCCGTTTGCATTTTATTGTTGTGAATTTAAAAATGCACCGAAATATGCAAATGCAAGATCTTAAGCACAAGATCCTGAACAGCCCTATTGTATTAAAACAGGCTGAACGGACGCACATTGTATAGCAACTTTACAATCGCTGTTACCTTTTTCCAATCGGAGATCGATTTTGATGGTGGCCCCATGCTATTGAGGGAATCATGTAGCTTCTTCCAAAACGCAAGCACTTTCTCCTTGTTTTCTTTTTGGAAGCCTTTCCCAATATCTGGATTTTCCGCCATAGTGTTGACCAAAAGAGTCAACTGCGTTTTATTAATAGACCTTAGTTGATATAAAAGAGTTGTTAAAATTAAGTAAAATTATTAATAAAGTATGCTCACATTTTATTGATAGTTGTTCCCCGCTAACAATTTTGTGAACAAATTTTATGGTTTCGCACGAAAAAATTACAATTACGGTTAGGAAAATTTTTCGAATATGGGGGACTTTTCCCATGTGAAGTTCACAATAAGAAAAACACAAATCAGGGAACTTTTCCATTGGGAATGGCATTCGCATGAAGTTTACAATAAGGCTGATTATTTTCTTTATAAAACTAACAAACGTGTGGATAAGACATTTGTACAAATCTTGAATCAACTAAAAAATAACGAATTAAAGCTTTAAATGCATTTTTATTACTTTTTTTTTAAGTTTTGAAATCAAGTTCTAAGTAAATTTTTTGAGTGTCAAGTTGCGAGATTTTACATTTGATATATCTTCGGAACCCTAGCTCACATGACTTTGAAATTTGGTGAGAACATCTATGGTAAATGTATACAAATGAGTTTATACAAGAAAGCGTGGCGTTTATAGTAAACTGAAAGAGAGTGAGTGTTTACTAGAGGCGTGGCACCTCCAATAATAATCTAAAAGTCTTCAGTATTCTCTGAGACTTTGCATTGACATGATTGGGATTTCCGGATAGTATTTATGCTTCTACATCGCAACAATATATTAAAAGTGTTCTTCACAGAAGGCCTTAAATTAAGCAAGCAAAATAGTTGATGTCTGCTTTAATTTGTGGTAAGCTGAAAAACTTTCTTACTGTTTTATATTTTTATTTGTTTACCCCGAACGACGTCGGAAGCTCTGTATCATAAAATATAGTACTTTTGAAAAAAAGTTGGCGACAGATGGCGCTGGAGTCGAGATATTTAGAGAATCCGTCTCTATCGTACGACCAGGATTAGCGGGTATTAACTAAATGATAAGAAGTGCTTGTGCAAAAAATGGACCCAAAACATATATGCCGCTGGAATCAAAATATCTAGATACCCCTCTAAAAATTTTGTAGATTACTTAATAAAGCCATATCCTTTAAGTATGCATACAAAGCGCAAAATTTTTTTAGTGGAAAGGATATAAAAAAACACTCATCAAGTGCTATTATATATTGGAAAATTGTTTGATTTTACTTATTTGAAGAAAATTACGGATTCTATTGCATTTACAGTTATAGCAGCGGAGTGAGAGCGCGTTATGGAAATGGATTCACAAAGCCGGAGTAGTTACCATAGTTGCCTCTATGTATGTAAGCTTCTGCTTGAATTGTTGAACCACAAGCCATAACTCTTATTATACCTGAAGAACTGGTAATCAATCCAGTTAATGCAATAACGGCCTCTTCCAAGTCATTGAAAATATGCATTTTATTAGGTTCAACACCTGTTGCGTTTGCTTCTGCCTTCGGTCGCGCTTAAGCCTGCTATACAGTTCAATGCGAGCGTGAGCGTGAACTTTTTATTTTGACGAATATCATGGTTATAATTTAACTTTTTGCAATAGCTGATACATCACAAGATAGAGAATTAAAAAATCTTTCAGAATTATAGAATAAAACCTAATTTAAAATGCATAATACGCCTTTTTCAAGCTCACACTCAACTGTGTGCGTATGTAAAGCATTCGCATGTAAAACGACAAGTTTTGACCGATGTGTGTGAGCGTTCATAAGAATACAAATGGAATTCTTTGCCTCTGCGAACTTTCACGCTTACGCTCGCATTGAACTGTATAGCAAGCTTTAGGGATTATTAACCTTACTAGGTAGAATTATCCTTTCTGTGTTGCCGCAGAAGGGCGGAAGCCCCTTCTTCTATTGTAAATTATATTTAAATATATTTAACACTTCTTGTGCGTTAACCTCCGGCTACGCCATCCAGAACCCAGAGCCAACATCGAAATTTACAAATAAGTGCATAGTTAAAATCGAATTTATTAATAAACTAATGCTCGGAAATTTGAAACAGTTGTGTTAAATTAAAGTTTAATCGTTGACTACACGTGTATGTTAAAGTTTTTAGATTTGGGGTCACGCGCTTGGACACAACAACCCAAAATCATTGTACAAATAACCAAACTGTACCCAAGTTTCTCGAAAAGGGGCAACAAACATTATTTTTTGATCGTTCGACTTTAACTCACACCCCTATTGCGGGTGTCGACTGGCAGTAGATAAACGACTATTAAGCGATTATCGATTATCGATGCTATTGTGAGTGTCGCTTAGTCGCTCAATTAGCGACTGTGAATACTTTTTAATCGCTCATCCTTCTATTGCTGTTTTTTAGTCGTTGGAGTTTGCGTTTATAAAATTTACATAAATTTACGGCGATGTCCTAGGAAAGTGGGGCATTCATTTTTGCATTACCAGTAATGCAGGAATTAATGTGATTTAGTATGAATTTTTTGCGACTTTTTGGCATTAGAATGCTGATTACATATTAAGCAGTAATGGAATGTAGAACTCTTAAGAAATACATTACATTATTTATCACGCATATAATGCATTACTTCTTTTCCCTTTGGGACCCTCCACAAAAAAAGTCTAAAAAATCAACGGTAATTATTAACGGCTTGAGACTTGCACTTTCTTAGACTACAATTGAATGGGCTACAGAACTTCATACCCGAAAATTTTCTAAATATTCTGAATAAAAATTTGGAAATTTTGATGACAATTGTTTTGAGTTTGATTAATTTTTTTGCAATTTTTTCTAGCTTTGAAACTTTTATTATTGTGGTTTCTGTTACAGATTGAGCTATATTTTAAATGAAAATTATTGAAAATAAAAATATAAACTTAATTGCAAACAATATCTTTTTAAATTTTGTTTATAATTAGTTGAACGCAGGTGTAAATATTTCGAGAAAAACTAAAAAAACGCAATAGCTACTCCAAATAGACAGCAAGAAAAGAAAAGTCAGGTGTGATATGTATCGACTCAATTATACTATGTAAAAAATCTAACTTTTTGCCGATGGAAGTCGATATTCTCATCGGATATGCAATATCTTGCTATTTCGTCTCTGATTCTGTTGGCATATCTGTACGTATTATACTCCTGTGATCCAATCGAAGAGAAGGTTTCGGGTTGGCTGTCACGTTCTCCGAAGTTTCGCGGCACTGTAGATTTAGGCTTCGTCAGATAGTTGTGTAGAGTACAGCAAGCCAAAACTACGAGATCGACCGTGCTCGGCAACACCTCAATTGGCCTCTGGAATATGCTGAATCGTTTCGCCAGTTTTCCGAATGCACATTCCACACAACCATTCGTGCACGACAAAGTCTGTAATTGAAGACCTTTTGTGGCACAGTCAACTTCATATTTCGATTATACGGCTCCAACAAGTTTTTGTCAATAGCGCATGCATCGTCTCCAGTGAAATAATACGGGAGTTTATTACCCTGCTCGGCAATAGTGATGTGCTGATTCGGTACTTTTAAGTATTGATCGATACTCGGTACCGACTTAAAAAATATCCAATACTTTCGATACTCGGTACCGAAGTATTATAATTTCTAATAAGAGTCCGCAATACCCACAAATATGGAATAAAAGCTGTTGAGTGATCGTTGAAATCATTAATCTATGGTTAAAGAAGTCTATTTCTCCACATTATTTGGATTTGAACGTTCTCGTTACTAGATTAATATCTGCCTCGGCGGCAACCACAATGCAAATCGTAATAATATTACGAATTAACAATGTTGCCACAATAACTGTTGCAGCTGGTAAGACTGTGGCAATAAGTGCAAGAAGGCTCAAATACTGACTGTTCATCTTTTGAGAAAGCATCGTCTTATTTGTATATTTTTTTTTTATTTCAGGTGATGTCATATGGGCATTCCCATGGTGGCGCACGTGACAGTCGTACGATTTCAATGTGATACAAAAAAGGAATACCATTTGTTTTCTTTAACTTTTTTGGGCCATTGTATAGCACATAATTAGCTCTATATTTAACCGAAAAATGAAATCAATCGAACTGCTTGGTCCTGAAATATAAGCATTTAAAGAGAGTGTCGTTACGTGACAAAAAATGGAAGTTGATTTTTTCTTTTCTTACAAAATCGCAAAACTCTGCGAACTGTGGATGGCTATTTTCATGAAACTTATTTTAATATGATTTGGAGCAATTCTAGTTGTTTTTAGAGTTTTTCTAATTAATGCAAATTGTTTCAATTCTATTTTACAACGCCAAGTGTGAAACGTGACGTGACGTGGCGTCACGTGACATAAATTTCCATCGTTATATATTTGTTAATATTGCTTTTAAATGAATTTTTAACGCAAATAAAACTTGTATTTTATGTAGAATATACTTTATATTTTGACTTCAGCGCCAATTCAGGGTCAATTTATTAAAAATCTATGATTTATTATGTTTCAACCACATACGCCAAATTCGAACCAAATCGGACCATAAATACGGTTTTTCGAAATATCTCGACCTTGGCACCACCTAGGAAGACCATTTTATGCAAACATGATTCTACTTACATAGCCAGTATATACTTTAAAAAGCAGACAAATCGGCCCGTAAATACGTTAGATATACCACCTTTATTTCTTTTGTCGTGGTGGACCTTCCGCTGGAAACACCCATATGTATAAAATAGCAATGAATATGAATTTTTTTTCTGTAAGCTTCAAAAATATACCCTTGCGGTCGGCTGATTAAGTTAAGTGACATTTTGACCAGTTTTGGCTATTTTTCTGTTGTCTATAATTTGTTTATAATTTTTTTATAAAAATTTTGCACATTACATAACCAGCAACATCTCATCCACACATCCACATCTCAAACTTCGTACAAAACTTATTAAAATTAAACAAGCTTTAACAATTGCTCCCAAGGCATTAAAACTTTTTATGCAGTTTTATAGCCCATTAAATTTTAGTTGGTTAAAGTGCAAATTTCAAGAAGCTTGCGTTGATTTTTAATAATTTTTTGGCTGACGGTTTTCTCCCATATAAAGTATGATCGCAAATTACCTTAATATGGAGGAAAATGACTAGGACCGCCAGCAAAAAAAAATTATTGCAGTTTAAACTACTAAAATATAAAGGGCTATAAAACTGTATACCTAAAATTTTCAATAAAATGTTTAAAATTTTTAGGTGTAATTGTTATTTTTTTTTTATTTTTTTAATTTTTGTAAAAAGTTTCAAATGTGGATTAATGTGGTGCTGGTTATGTTGTGTGCTAGACTTTTATAAAAAATGTGACTAAACTTAATAGGCTGCCAACAAGTGTANAGGGCTATAAAACTGTATACCTAAAATTTTCAATAAAATGTTTAAAATTTTTAGGTGTAATTGTTATTTTTTTTTTATTTTTTTAATTTTTGTAAAAAGTTTCAAATGTGGATTAATGTGGTGCTGGTTATGTTGTGTGCTAGACTTTTATAAAAAATGTGACTAAACTTAATAGGCTGCCAACAAGTGTACCTATATGTAATGAGGAAGGTTTAATGTATCGAATCGGTATCGGGTACCGAAATTTTCTTCAAATATTGGGTACCGAGTATTGGGTACCGACAATTCAGCACATCACTACTCGGCAACTAATTGTGTTGGTTCGGGAATGTTAAGCGAACACTCTTGTAGGCATCTGTAGAGCTGACCATCTTGGTAGATTGTACTGTCTGAAGCTGTCCCATTACAGCCCACATCCGTAAAGAGGAATCTGCCATGTGCGTCTACCAATGCAAATAGCACGGTACTATAAAACACTTTAAAATTGTAGAATTGGGATCCAGTATTCGCTGGGGCTTTAATGCGGATATATATATAGATATTCCGTCTAAAGCACCCAGGGTGTGCGGGAATTGCCACAGTTGATTAAAGGCTGCTGAAATCTCTAACCACTCGTCTTTGGTTGCTGGAACCTATAAATAATGAAATAAATTATTTGTATTTAGAATATATTTACATATATTTCCTTTTTTTCTATTAGGACAACATAGATGTACATATCTATTGAAGAGGGAGAAGTTGCAATTACCAAGTTAAATAGCTTTGACATCAGGTACACACCGTCGACATCACGGGCGAACCGGAGTAGGGAAGAAGGTGCTGAAATAGCCAAATTTTACGAGGCACTAGCACAAATTGTCAGTTTGAGTAAGCCTACAAACGATGTGTTCAGCTCTTTCGCGGAGAGCATGGCAACACAACTGCGTACCATGCCTGAAAAAGTTGCATACCAAACAATGGCTGACTTGCAAAATTTGTTGGTCCGGCGGAAATTCATTAACGCAAATGATGGTTGAGAGCAGGGTGCCAAGATTGTTTAAAAAAGAGCGCAGTTTCTAAAAAAAAATCGCCATTTTTTTTTTAATTCATGAAATCGATTTAACAAATCTTTTATTTTAAAAATGAGATCTTGTTATAATATAGTATTTAAAACCAAAAACGAATATAATACCCTCAGAGGGTAATAATAAATAAGACAAATCACTTATATAATAGTGATGTACAAACAATATTGGTTTCAACATATTTAGCAATAGGACTGCGCAATTATTAAATTTATTAGAACTCATATTAATTGATTAAGCGCACAATCCGCCTTTAAGAGCTCAGCGCTAAAAATTAGATAAGAACCTATAATAAGGCGAGCTCAGCTATTTCCACAATTTCTTCAAAGTCACCTACAGTGTCTGAATGAATTACATTTCTGTTGTTGTTATATATTGAGCTATTCAACCTTGATAACATACTGCTTGATATTGGAAACGTTTTGCAGCAGAAACTATTAGCCTTCATATAACACTTTAATCGAACTACTGAATTAAGGCTTTCCAACCTCATCCAATTTCGAATCTAAGTTTTTCTGGACACTCTGGTTGAGAGTTGCTTTTAACTCTGTTTGAAGAAGCCAAAGAGGCATCTCCAGAATCGCGTGACTCGGACACTTTGTTTGCAGAAATGTCTGACGCAGAAATACTACCAGAATTTTTGATCGAAGAGGATTCGTTCTTGATTTAAAAATGTTCATTTATACAAAAAAAA